TTGTTTTGAGCTCTCAATTAGACTCTAAAATTAATTTTTTTTATTTTACTATTTTATGATAATTGAACATGTTAGATTAGGATTTATATAAGTAGAATTTAGTTTTATAGAATTTTTAGAATTACAACCCTTGATGATATAAATTATAGTCTAATTCCTTGAATTAAGTTAATTAGTACTAAAGTGATAAGAATTAAAAAATTAGAATAGCAACTTAGTTAGTTTAATAATTTAGAGGTTGTTAGTCATTACTATGAAGGCTGACTAAAAGCCTATGAGTGCACCTATAATCATTCACATGATTCAAGAGTTGGAATTATAATTCTCTAAAAGATTTAGTGAAGTTAGCAATGATAATTTTGAGCTTTACTCTAAATTTGACAAATTTAAGTGGCATAGTGGTTCTTCTAATTAATGGAAGTCTTTTTAATGCAATGGTGGCACCAAATTTATCCCATGGAGTAGAGAAAATAAGATCAGCACCCTCTCCTTCAAAATACAAATGAAGCAATGAAATTCTCATTTTGAAGAATTTTACAAATAAAAATGGCCGAGATCCTTGAAAGTGAAAACTTCCATGAAAATTATAATTAAGCATGGATTGAAGCATGTGAGTAGTCACTCTTAGCTTAAAAAGGTGTTTTAAACACAATGGTGAAGTTAAATTTACCAGAAAATGTTTTCTTGACTACTTACAAGAGCCATCAGCCTTAATAACGAGATTGGCTCTTGGATGAATGAAGGTCATAGATCTAGCTTAGGGATCTTAAAAATCAAGGGTGGAGATGTAGCCACCCTTCTACGAGCCTCTACTCAATTGTATAAGAGAGGCTTGGTTTTTCAAGCCCTCTCTCTCCTCTTTTGAGTGAAGGTCGAAGCCATGCCAAAATTTGGCCAAAATCCTAATTTTAAATTTATTTAGATTTAAAGTAAGAAAGAATTTTTGGTGAATTTTTGAGTTTGAAGAAGTCAACTGCCTTTGGAGCTTGGATCAATCGAGTTTGAAAAGGCATTTCTCAGTGCTTGATAATTGACTTTATTTGAAATTTTGAAAGCATTAAGCTTTATAAGCTAAGCTATAAAAGACACAAGTTTTGTTGGATTTGAAGACAATCTGAATTTTTAGTGAATTTCTAAGTGTAGAAGGTTGATTGCCATAGTAATTTGGATTGTTCAATTTCAAAGGAGCAATTCTTACGATTTGATCATTAGATTGCAACGAGATTTATTGGATCAATAGTGCCTTTAAGTTAGCCTAGCAACAAGCTATGAATCATTCAAATTAAAGCTGATTACAAATTTTGGAAAATTTTGGAGTAGAAGGGGATTACTACCTTTAATCTTTGTATATTGTTAATATACCTTTGCTTTCACCTCTCTTATTTTATTTTTAATATTATCTTCATAGTGACTTATAATCTCTACATTTCACTTTTTGACTAATAAATTTTGAGTTTAACTTTTAACCTTTAATATTCTCACTTTAAGTTTTAAATTAATTTTTAATTTTAACTTTTAAATTTAACTTTTAATTTTAATTCTTAAACTTAATCTTTAATTTTAACTTTCAACTTAACCTTTTAAATATAACTTTTTACTTTAATTTTTTATTTTAACTTTTTAACTTAACTTTTAATTTTAACTTTTAATTCAAACTTAAGTAATTATTTTTTTACTATTTTTGCATAATAAATTTTATTTAACATTTTAATTTAATGTCATTGCTTGGAGGGTGTTAATTTAAATTAAACTACAAATATCTACATTTAAATTAATTCAATAATTTTACAATTGGAAGTCCTTCCATTCTACCTCTTGAATTTCTTGTATGGCATTAATTTAATGAGTGGTGAATTTGGGGCTCACACTTGTCCCTGTCATACTTGTAGAAGAAAAATTTACTGGATTTGGTTGTAAGGTCATTCTACTTGCTTCCTTCAATTATATAACTTCTTGCTGCAGACTCTGAACTACTTCTATAGGCATAGGCATAGTACTTCCATGATTTATATTAGAAATATGTGAGATTTTTATTCTTAGAATGTTGACAAGCTCATGAAGATCTGCATTAGTTACAAATCTATTTTCTCCTCTACTAAGACTAGCATCTTTAATCTTTCTTTTCATAGACAATTCAAATAAATTCAAAAAGTTAAATTAGAAGAAGATAATCCACAACTTCTAATAAAATTTTCTACAAAGAGAGTAATCCACTCTTTAAAAAAAGATCAATATTAAAAAATAAGATTTTTTGTTTAAAGGTGGATAATCTGCAACCTTCAAAATACAACAATAGAAGTGTGGTAATCCACTCACTTCTTAAATAAGACAAAAATAATATGTTGGCACTCTTGTCAAATTGTCAAGGACATGAAACTCAAAGAAAGAAAATCTTCAATACACTCTTGTATCATTAAAAATAACTAGAAAGTCACTCAAAAGGTGATGTAATATTAAACTAGAATGGCTATTGTAAAAAATAAGAAGACTAAAAAGTCTTGAAATAAGACTAGGAACTAGAAAGATGTTAATAAGAGTGAAGAAGACTTCATTCTTACATCTATATATACTCTCTAACTAAGAGCTACGTGGCAATATTCTATAGGACCTCTAATATTTGTTGACTTTGCTAGCTACATGTCTTAACTTGCAAGGCAAGTTATCAATGTATGTACCATGTAATTAGCTTGTTTCACAAGCTACTACATAAAATTAACTTGTTCTAGAAGCTATCAATATGTTATTAACTTATTAGCCAAGTTTCTAACCTACAAACACATCTAAAGTCAAAATTGCATCTATAAAGCTTTTAGGAAGCTTTTCTAAAAGACTTTATGAAATTAATCTATATTTATCTATTTCTACTTAATCATATAAGTAACTATTGGGATAAATGTATATGTCTATGATAATCTATTTGATACATCTTCAAGTTTTTTTTTACCCTAATTACCAAAATGATTCTAATAGTGGTGAATTTGGCTAAAGAAGTATATGTTTTATTGAAATCAATACCAAAAACTTATGAATAGTCTTTAAAAATCAATCTTACTTTATATCTTATAACATTGCTTGTTGCATCCTTCTTGATTCTACACACTTTGTTACAACCAATTAAAGAGATCAATTTGATAGAAGTTGAGTTAATTCCTATGTTTTATTAATTATAAATAATTTATATTCTTCTTTCATAGCCTTCTCCTACTTCATGGCATCTATAGATTTTGTTATATTATATTAAGTCAATAGATCAAAAAAATTATAATATTAGCATATCTTTCACTTATTTGAAGAAAGATATAGTTCTTCCATCATTCACCAAGTGGTCTTCTTTTTTCTATAAAATATCTTCTTGTATTTAAAAAAAAAAAATCTTTTTTATACACTCTATGGTCTCTTCCAAGCTTCTTTGTTCTTAAAGCTTGTCTCTATTCACTCAAAGATTGATATTCCTCTTTAATAATATCTTCAATATCTTTATTTCTTAAGAATTATCTTAAGAATTTTGGAGACTTTATTTTCCATCTTCTTTTGGTTTTTTACTTTAATTCACATTTCGACTATTTTCATTGTTTTTATTTTTATGCTAAAATTAAAGATGTATCTATAATCACACCATTACTTGTATTAAGACATATTTCTAGGTGCTTATAAACACTCTTGTACTTCAAATATTCAACATCACGATTTTTGATAATCTTCTTGGTATCTAAACACATTAGCTTATATGTCTTGGTATTTTGACAATAACTAAAAAAACTTATATTTAGATCTTTTGCATTATATTTGAACCTCATACAATTTAGAATCTTTGGATATGCAATGTATTGAAATATCCTCATGTATTAAACGTAAGATTTTTTTCAACTCAAATCTTCTCATAGAGTCAATAATGTGAATGTACTTGTAGGATATTTATTTCTTATATACACTATATTCACCATAGATTTTTTTTAGAACTCATCTCCAAAGTTTTGAATTAAGGCATATTCTTTGTCATTTCTACAATAGTTCAATTTGCTCTTATAGTTACTTCATTTTATTATGGATTATACAAAGTTGAGATTTGACTTATAATACCTTAAAGCTTCAAGAATTTATCAAAATTCTTTGACAAATATTCTTTTCTATTGTCCATGCATAATACCTTGATCTTACACTCACATCACTTCTCTATAAATGCATTAAATTCCTTAAACTTTAAAGAATACTTATTCTTGGCTTTAAAGATGAAATCCACATTTTTTTAAGAAATCATAAATAAATATGAAAAAATATTTAATTCTTCCCATTAATAACATCTTTGTAGGTCCACAAATATTAGAATGCAAAATTTTTAACAACTTGCTTGTATGTATTTCAACTCCAATTGGAAATGAAGTCCTTTATCATTTGCCTTGATTACAATTTTCATAAGCAAGAGTTATGGCATTTTTGCATGATTGCCTAAGATCCAAGCTACTTACTATGGATTAAAGTTTTTTCTTATTTTTGGCATATAAATGACTAAGGCAACAATGCCAAACGTCAAACTTCTCTTAATCTAATAGAAATTCAACAAATATCTTAACCAATTCTATTAAACTTTTTGTAATTGATGAAGTAAAGGTTGACAATATCACTTCCATCCAATGTTTATACATAGTACTCATTCATGTTAAATTCTACCTTACAACTTTATAAAACAAATTTGTTTACCAAAAGAAGATTTTTCTTCATCTTGGGCACACATAAATACTTCCTTCAATATAATCCTCTTGGTTTGATCCTTCACAACAATCTCTACCATAATAGAACTAATTCCAATGGTTTGCACCATACCATTGTTTTTCAACTAAAACTTTTGTTGTTCAAATTTCTTTATAAGTGTCAAATTAGCATATTGAGGACTATATTAAAAATAATTCAAAAATAATAATCACTAACAGAATTTTTATCTAAATTTTTTAAAATAAAATATATTAATAATTAATTATATAAATAAAATAGATAGGTACAGATAGGTCTGTTAAATAATATTTTTTACAAGAAACATCAAAATGACATTTTTAGACACAACTTAGATCTATAGGTGTACCACATAATTATGATAACTTTTCTATATATTACTTTATAGCAAAGTCAAAGTGGGATGTATTTGGACTCTTTCACATATAGGCGCTAAGCTGTGGTAAGAGCAGATTAACTGACGTAAACAAAAAGAATGCACGTGGGAATCGGGATCCAATCCCCCTGGGCCGTGGAAGTGGTAGTTCAAGGCGATTCCAAGCTTCGCTAGTCCCGATGGAGGGGTTGTAGTGAGATCTGGTAGCCAACACTGTCGAACTCATTGGTTCGCTACAGACTCCCCTCGCATTTGCCGCAAAATCGTTGCACACACACCAGCAGCCTGTGGAAACAGAGGAGTCAGAGATGGCGGTTTCAAACGCTACCGTTTTGAATGACAGCGCAGGGAGGCGGGTCATGGCAGGGCGGGGGAGGAGAGATCGTTCAACGGCTTCTTACGCCACTTCGAATTCGTCTAATCTGCTTTTTGATCAATACTTGGTGGCTCCCGCGTATCACTCACTTCCGACACTTCCGACACTCTTGTTCCGATACCCTTCCAACACGACGGCGCGCGTCCAAGGGTAAAATGCGCTGCTGGAGCTCGTGAGAGAGTGAGTCAAAGGAACTCCTCTGGTTACATGCGTGGCTGGTCGTAAATTATCGACTGAACTAGAATGTTTGGAGATTCTCAGGAGGAGTTCACCGGCTGAAGAAAGTGCTCACGGCTCACAGAAATGGCACGAGTTTACTGGTTAAATAGTTGCGGGCGAAGCGGCTGGAGTCGGAATTGGCATACAGCCAGTCTCGAGTGGGGGCCGCGGGCGTTACTGGTACATTTGACGTCAGACATGAGAAATAGTCAAGGTATGAAGACCACTAGAAGGGCTTCAACACACATGGCGCACGGAAAAGGCTTAACTGTGCTCAGCTTCAGCTACTGCGCACAGTTACCGACGTGTTCATTTTCTCACTCTAAATATAGATGCCTCAAAACTTCTCTTACCAATTTCATTGCTGTGGAGAGGTCGGACTGATTCGCAAGAGAAAGTCACCTGAGAAGCCCTACTCCGCCAAGATTATATGAGTTGGAGTGCTCCTCTGAAGCTTGATGTTCACAGAAGTATTCAGCCTGATCAGACACCTCATTCATCAGAACCAGCAGTTGTGTGATCTGTAAGAGGCATCCATTTTTATTTTTATTTCTTTTGATGAAAGTCCTTACCTGCGTCTCATAGGACCTGATTCCTTGAGATCTTAGGTTTACAGCAGAGCAATGGAGGCAGTTCTGGTGAGGGCAATCGCCGCAACTGGAAGCGCTACCAACCAAGCCCACTGGCATGGCCTTCATGTGAGAGCGACCTCGATTGAACGATCAAATTTTGCAATGACTCAGAGCGCTTCTGCTGACACATCACGGAAAGTTATCGGCTATTGCGTTTCTACAGCACAACCCGCGCCGTCCAATTCTCAAGCAGAAACGCTCGGTCCTCTGAGAATCTCGTGGAATTCAAACAGCAACAGCCAGCAGTTCCAACTTCCTGAGGAGCCGCTTCAGAACTATGAAGGATTTGTCAACTACAAGACACTAGATGGATCTGTTGCAGACAGCAATGAGGACCAGGTTGATAGAGAATTTACAAGAGTCGTGCATACTCAAGAATCTTTCTTCCAATTCCTTCACCAATTTCCGAAAGATGAGCTCAAGAATGTCGCACAGGCTTGCAATCTCAGCAATCTGGCCTACACAATTAGCGAACTGAAGGTATTCGCCAGCTCTGTTCACTCTATACAAAATATCAAAATGATTTGAGTTAGCATTTGATCAAAAGAAGTCCCACACCGTTACGAATTTGTGAACAGGTAGACGAGCTTTTTAAAGATCATAAGCTGAGACTGGTGACATCATCAGTTCATCGAGATAATTCGGGAGCGACGGGGCAATTTGGCATCACACTGGCTCCAGCTACTGCTTATGCTCTGGCTGCCACAGCTTCATACTTGAAGTCGGGTGACCCTTCCACCAGACCCAGAAAAGGTTCAGAGACTCTCTCTTCCAAATTGCTGTCGAGAGCAGTAGATCATCAGCTTTCCTCCACTATGTCGTCGTTCATGACTGACTCACGAGAGCCATGCCATATCACTTCAGAACCCATTACTGGTGTCACTAACAGAGAAGAAGCTACTACTGCTAACCCGGCCAGCATTTGCGGGTGGTTTGCTTGTGATGAGCTGACTACTGCAACTCGATTCTTTTCAATTCAGGTACAGAAGTAGCCATTTGCATGTATTTGCTTCGACCTTCAGCGTTCACAATATGTATATTTTTTTCTCACAATCCATTTGTTATTCTCTTGTGGGATGCTCTTGTGATGCCAACTTCTTTTTGTGCAGGGTTCTGAATCAATGGCGTCCTGGAAAGCCAACCTTCGATTTCAACCTACGCAGTTCGAGGGTTGGAGCACTGGTGTGATGGTGCACAAAGGCGTGTACGAAATTGCGAAATCGCTTTATGACCAGATGCTTCCCCTAGTGCAGTCACACTTGGCAGCATTCGGAATGCGCGCTAAAATAAGCTTCACTGGCCATTCCCTGGGAGGAAGCATCGCCGTTCTGCTCACTCTCATGTTCCGATACCGGGGAGTAGTTCCGGTGTCTGCTTTGAGACAAGTGTACACATTTGGTGCCCCTGCAGTCATGAATGGAGGTAACAATTTTCTCAAGCGCCTCAACTTTCCTCCCAGCCACATTCAATCAGTTGTCATATCTCGCGATCTCGTTCCTCGCATATTCGCGTGTGATATTCCCCAGCAGATTGTTGAGGTGCTCAAAAGAGTCGACAAAAACTTTCGGAGCCTGCCAACAAACCAGGTACAATGAGATTTCTCTTCGTTTCCGAGGGAATTATGAAATTTCTGGTGACAAGATCCCCGCTATTGTGATGGTACGTAGATCCTGGAAGGCCGTTCTGATCGAAAAGTTACGTTGATCTCATTTCAGAGGCAATTGTATACTATGGTGGGAAGATTGGTGATTCTCCAACCGGAGGCCCAACAAGCGCCTGGACATCCGCTTTTGCCTTCTGGCAGTGGAATCTACATCCTAGATCAAACCGCTACGGCCAATTCACAGGATCTTCACGCCACAATAGTCTTCAAGGAGAAGGAATTGCGGGCCGCAGAATCGTCGTTCTTAAATTCTCCGCATCCCCTTGACATCATGAGCGACCCATGTGCATACGGATCCGATGGTGCTATCAGCCGGGACCACGACCCTCGAAGCTACCGGAGAGCTATGAACCATATCCTCAAGCAGACGGCTCCAGGCATACATCAATGGAAGCAACTGGAGATATGCAACTTCAAGGATAAGATGGCCAAAATTGCAAATGGAAATTGGCCCGCAAGCCCGGGTAGCACCCCCAAGCGATCCAAAAGGATCGAAGAGTCGAGTGTACTGTGCTTCAACAACAATGGATTCTTCAGCCGTGCCTCCAGCTCTAGAATGTGCCACTATCTCAGTTTGGGATAGCGGAAGATGCTCGACACAGCCACCCCAAGGCGGCCTCGCTTCCCACGCCACGAGGAATACACTCGTCTCGGGATTTGAGAGCCTTGACAATCATTGGATCTCAACACAACACATCGGTGTAACACTGGCACTGCCCTTCGTCATGTCTACAGCTGTGCATAGGTTATGACATGTAGCATGCAGGGCAGTTGTATTAAGAGAATTAGAATCACGACGAAAAAGAACACAAAATCAGGTCAAAGGCCCTTATGAAAAACAGAAAGAAAGACAAAAAATCCTGATCTTAGATTGGTCAAGAATCAATTATGCGAAAATAAAATGGAACAAGTGCAAAGCGTCACGTATACGCATGCCAAATTATTATCCAATTTATATCGCAGAAATAAAAACTCCAGTGCCGAAGCACACAACTTGCTCTCCTGTCGAGCCGCGCAATTTCTGAATGACACAATTCCGCTTACGCGTTTCAAAGGAATGTTTGAGATTCCGAGTGTATTCAGATTACTGTAAGCCGTGCGAAGATTATCAATTGAAGGAGTTACAGTACTAACAACTGCGGTTGAGAATATATTGTAACTCAGTTGCAGTATATGCTGATTGATGTACTAACACCCCGCGACGCTAACTTGAAACCCTATTTAATACACACATTCACGAGAACAGGAATGCAATTTGGCTCGCAGAGTCTTCATGTTGTTGTTAGAACGGAGTGGATGTCACTGCTCACAGTTTCAAGCCAGCTTACTTAAGCATGCAAAACTCGGAGTATCAATCTGTAACTGGGTGAACTTTTTGTTCCTTCGCAATCTGCTTTACCAGTTGCCAAAGACAAATGACGAAGACACTTGACTGTAACAACTTTAATGAGATGTAGATTTTTGCCAACTTGTTCCTTGGATTGCCATGAATTCCTTCTCCTTCAGGTAAATTTCTTCAAGCAATCCACAGAATTGCTGGCATGTGATCCTGTAGCCTCGAACATTGCGTTCGGTTTCCGTTTGGAATTTCTCATTACCTACCATAATTTCACAAGCTAATGCTTGGAAATGGTGTCTCTGTTTCTTTTGGGCACTGCCCATGACATCGATCAGTGACCGCGAAGCAACACGCAACAACCGCAATTGCACCAAGTTCCCTACTTCTAGGGATCATTCAAGTCAAGTTTGTTGGCCAGTGTTTGTTTCCTGCCACCGAATAACAGTACGTTTAAACCATGGGGTCAATCTTGGTGAATAAGGTTCAATGTATCTTAAACGCTGCACCCAAAACCACGAACCATTTGCATTCGGTTTGACCTACATAATGTTCACTTCTATGCGCTGCCTTGTCCTGGATGGAGGCTTAATGAACCTGACGGGAGCAGCTCTTGCTCACCACTGAGATGTAAGAGCCTCGACTTGTGTTGAAGTCTGGAACTAAACATGTGTAGTTCTGGAACTTCAGTTCAAGGAAAGTATGCTGGTACTGTTTCTCTGAATAAAAGACAGGCAATTGGTTTATCTGCAACTGATTAATACTAGCACTGCTACACACTGAGCTGATGATCTAAGACTTCAAAACCATGAGACCATCAAGGTGGAACTAACTTGGCAGACCATGACCAATTCCCTTCTTTGAGGAACATAACACTCAACGTAATACCATCTTTTTTCTTTTTTCTTTTTTATCACATCACCACCGCTGAACTAAACATCACTCAGAGAAAGCAGCATTCGGCATCAGAAAACAATCGTGGTAGCCTTTCATACATTGTGTATTCACCAGGTCTTAAGCCTTTGCTCACATGATGAAGGACCTCGTCACCCCCTTCTAAGCTGTTCCAAAATTGTGGTGTGCAGAATCATATCCAGAAATCGAAGTTAAATACGAGCTTCTCATGTTCGTGAACTTGCAGTGTGATAAGAGAGAAGATAAATCTGCTTATTAAGCACAAGATCTTTCCAGCAAGCTGATTCTTAGCATATCGATGTTCCTCCCCAGCACGAAACACATAAATGGGATCCCACGTGCACAACTAATACTTCTTCCCCTTCTTCACAAAGTCCCACCCCTCCTCGCGTGAGATTTCATTCCACTTCAGAGAGTTATCTATCCGCCTCCATCTCAATTTCCATGTTAGCTTAAGCTAAAAATCCAGTCATAAGAGCATAGCCTCAGTCTTACTCTACACCTCTGCTACAGACTTCCTTCCTTCTTTCCTTCCTTCCTTCCCACGTTGACACGAGCCATAGTACCCCTCCAGTTCAATGAAAGCCAGATGTAGTTGCATCATGTGCCACAATTATTGCACTCTGATAGTCGGTATGAAATTTCTGACGGATCTCTCAGATAACAGTCTCGTGTTGTGCTAGGTTACTAGAGCCGACGTAATCCCGTTTAGCTATAGAAAGATGATTGTTCATGTGATGGTGAAGACTTTCTGGCACTAGCATGGCTTTGCTAGTTGAGCGGTAGTTGGTGGACAGTGCTACTTATTGGCAGTCGATGCAGGAGACTTAATTGAGGGTATTGACAGGATTATGCCCCCACTCCTATGTCATGCCAGACATTTGTGTGTAACTTGTAGGTCTCGTTATTCTGTATAGGATTCCACTCATTCCGCAGGGCCTCAATTAAACAGTTCCCACATTCAGGAATTTTTCCAGTGTCTTCAGCGCATTTCCCACTTCTTGTTGCATATCTTGTCATTTCTACTTTCTTTTTCTTTTTCTGGTTCTGAGATTTGTTATGACACTACCCAATTATTGAATTCGCTGACATGTTCACTTGTGTTTTCCACAAATCTGCTTCGGATCTGCAGATTTGTTCGACTATGGGTGACGGATGTGATCTCTTGTGTGGCGTTTCCACGAGTTGTTCAAACGTTATTAGTTTTGTTTTGAATAGGAATTGGGTGTTTTTGAAAGCCATTTTAGGAGTCGAGAGGTCTACTGGTGTGTGAAGTTTTCGATACATCTTGTGGAGGTTCATTGAAACGTGTTGAGTGATTTGCATGTAGCAAACCAATTTTTTCAATTCTCAAGTCTGGGTGGTGGTGAGCAAAATACTGGTTTTCACATTTCATACAAGTCACAATGGTGGTTTCACATCATCAGAAGTGGATAAGCAAGACAACAAATTAGCACAATCTAATCAGCCATAGGCACACCACTTCATAAAAGAAAAAACTCTCTTTTACTTGTATTAGTTTATTGTAGGGTTGTTAAGTAAATTTAATATAAGATAAATAGGTTTTTTTTAAAATTAAAAACATATGGAAATGGGTAGAATTGACTCCCACTATGTTACTTTGCTAAAGCATTGTCATTTTTACTATTGATTTTGCCTCATTCGGTTAGTGAATGTGAAAAATGAAGATAGATTTTTTCAAAATGTTTTGCATGTATTTAGAGCTTAGAACTTTTGGAGCCTACAAAACTCCTTCAATTAGAGGATTTTCTTAAGCAAAAAATTAGTAAGAGTTGTAGAATACTCATTCTTCTTCCATCTAATTAAGGAAAAATTAAATTTAATGGTGGCGGTACCAAGAAATATAGAAGTAAGAATGCCACAAAATTTGCAAGCCTTCTAAAAGTGACCATTTATAAGTGTTTGACCTTTGGCAAAGTTTGTCTTATTGAAGTAGCACATGTTCACCAATTGCTTGAATACAATCTTATTATGATAAGCATCAAAGAGAGCATGGTGTTTTCATTTGATTTCCTTAATTGACAACTTAGATCAACCAATAGTAAGTAGACAAGACTATAGTATTAGCATTGTGTTATATAAAAATTAGCTTGAGAATCCACTAGGCATTTAGCTATAATAAGATTTGGTCTTACCTTGAAATTAGATTTACAAGATAAAAATAATGCATAAGATGTTTAGAAATACCTTTTTGATATCTTAAAGAACCTAAGTAAGCTTCTAATTATGCTCAATACATTGTATTAATATTAAAAAAATCTAAAAATATCTCATAACACTTTAATGAACTTCAAATAAACCTTAAATAATCTTTAATCTTAATTAAATCTTAATTAACTCTAAATAAATTCTAAAAAAATCATTAAAGCCTTAAAGAAATATTTTAAAATCCTAAAGAAATTATTAAAAAAACTTAAAAAAAACTCTAATCAATTCTAAAGAAATTCTAGGTAAATCCTAAAAAATCTTAATCAAATTCTAATCAAATCCTAAGTAAATTTTAACAAATATAATTAAGTTTCTTCGAATTTAATCTTGCTCTTCAATCAACAAAAGAATCCCATATTTACCATTGGTCTATGGTTTTGATTGTAAAGATAGGATTCTAACATGGTAAATAAGATCACAAAGGCATCATTGGATAGCCTAAAATACTTGGCTTAGACACACTGGGTGGTGGTGAGCAAACTTGTGGAGCCCCTACCACAAATGTTGCAGATACTAATTTTAATATAAGTGATTGACATGATTTAATGTAGGATTGCTAAGAATTGCTAAGGATTTTAGAGAGTTGGTGAGAGATTATATTGTAGGATAAATATAAAAAAATAATAATTTATTTTATTTAAAGTGACTTAATTATGGATCTTAAAAATAAAGTTATAATCTTGTGTAATAAATATCATAAAAATTATTTAAATCTTTGAGCATAAAACTAATGATTGCGTAGTAGAAATTTTAGAATTAAAAAATTAAATTAAATTAAATTAAATATAAATAAATAAATAAATACAAATCTTCAATATTTATAAAAAAATTAGATTAATTAAGTGAATGATCTCTTAAATTTTCAGCAATTTAAAAATTATGGTTTAAAATTCTAAATATAAAAAATATTTCTTCTTTATTTTATTATATTATATGTAATTATAAAAATAAAAATAATTACATAAGTATTTAAACCAATAAAAAATTCAAATATATAATTCTTTTAAGACTACATTATAAAATTTTATTTTATATTTTTAGATGTAAAAATAAAAAATGTGTTTAATTTTATTTCTTTTTTTCTTTTATGATTTTTTGTATTTTCTATATAATAAAAACTTTAGTTTTTTATAGAAAATTTTTAGAAGTTTAAGAAAAACAAAAATATGAGATATTTTAATATTCAAAATTGGTTTGAATACTTATGAAATTATTTTTATTTTTATAAATAACTAAAATTTTAGGTTTCTAAAAAATACAAATATCAATTTTTTATCTTGTATAAAACATTTATAAAATTGATGGAAGGACAAAGACTTTTATTTAAAAAATAAAATTTAATTTTTTTGATTTCTCATTAGAATTGAAAATATATGATCATGACATAAGAAATATAATTCTACAATTATTTGGAACAAATAGTTCAAATTCTTCAATATAATTTTATATTATTTTAAAAACAATTCTACCATTAAATATGAAGAAAAAGAATATTTTGATAAGATAATCACTTTTGA